GGGTTGCTCCTGTTTACTGGCTTAGGATCTTTTAAAACTTTGCTTCCTGTTGCTGGCTAGTGCTGAATTACAAATGCTGATGCTGCAGCCTTCACAGTTGTTTTAGAAGGAGATTAATTGACAACCACAGAAGTGGCTGAGAAGGAAATCTGTTATAATGTAAATGTTTTCTAACATGATTGAGAAATTAGACTGTTTTGTTATAATTTCACAGTAGAGTTTTTACACTTTGTACCTTTAAACACTTATGTGTACAATGGTAAACAAGCGTGTATCAACTCTTATTTTGAAACTTTTTGCTAACATCAAGTTTAAGATGGATAAATTTAAAAAAGAAGTCTATAGTTTATAAACTATAAATGAAGTTCATGTAAGAGACGAACTCCACCTGCCTAAAGTGAAGCAAATGCAGAAGTGACAAAAGTTGCAGTTCCCCCCTAATCCCATAGGAGCGGTTCCCATTGACTCCCATGCTGAAATGCCAACTTCACAGCAGAAATGAACATGTTTACAGCGTGGTGGAAAACATTTTAGGTTTAAATTTCAAGTTTACAGTCATGACTATTTGGAAGGGAGTGAAGTTTTTGTAACTATTCATTTTTAAGTAATTAAAGCTTGAAATAATGAACACTTAGGGGCGTGTCCTGTTGATTGACAGCTAGCGACTTTCCCCCCTACATCATTAGAACCTTTCTCTTCTAAAAGGAAATATTTTCCAATTACTAATGGAGCTACAAATGCATGTTTAAATGTCAACAATCACAAAAATTAAAACTTTTCTTGATGCCATACCATTCAAGTGTTGGCATTCCTCGTTGATCATCCCAAAAAGCGTGCATAAGCCAAAAACCAGAATGGAGAACATGATGGTCAGCACCTCTATCTCAGTTATAAAAGAGGCCATCTACTTTTACTACCTCACAGCCACTGCTAACAAAGACAACAGCAAACGTTCCCAAAACTCACGTTTTATCAGACAACGAATCAGAATCAGAGTTCAGCTCTTACCCCGCGTGTGTCACAAAGCATTTAAACACTGACAGTTACGCAGCAGCTTCATGCCCCGCCTCACACACACTCGTGCCTGTCTCTCTTTTGTTGCACTCCCGTGAGAGCTGTGAACAGCTAACTAAGTCTTCCCCTCTCAAGTTCAAGTGAGATCATATTTACCCTAATTATTTATGTGTGCTGTACCTCTCAGGTGTGTGACTGTGTAAGCAGCGATGCTCCACATAAGATTTAAAACTGCTCTTGGGAAAGTTGCTCTGAATATTAGGATTTAATTGTTTCAGTCTTGATATTTTCTGTCAATCCTGCAAAACTAAAACTGCTCTTGATGCTGAATATAGCTCATTGGTTTGAGGGTAAAATTAGGGACCAGACAGTTTCAGCCTGAGTGCATCTTTACTAAAACGGTACGATACTTATTTACACAAGTTTACAGAGCTTATCAGACACACAAGGACACCTCATCAGTTTGACCTGACACCAGAATATGATCAGATGCATACTCTGTTACATTCTGCTGAAACTAATGAAGATACCTTCGTTTCCATTACAGAAACTTCTGTTCTTCTCTGACTCATTCTTCTTGCATGAACGTCAGCCAGCATGCACTCTGCTATTAGCTGTTGGAGGTGCAGCGTTTTAATGGCAACTAAACAAGGTTTCACTTACTTTATCTGTTGCAGTGCCATAGTTTTGAATTGACATGCATGCTTACATTAACATATGTTCCTTTTTAAGGGTAGATAGATGGTATCTAGGTCAAACCACATCTCGTTTTTGCTGCTTCAAACTAAAGCCACAGTGTTGCCCCTGCATGCTATGTGATGAATATTCTCATAGTCACTCGAAGTCACTTCATTAGTTCATCGTTTAATTTTGCAAAAATATCAGGAACTAAACTCACAGTGAACAGAAACATTGATGCTTGTTATTTTGTTGATGTACACCTTTATCTCAGTTGTTCAAACTGACCGTAGATCGCTTTTTAAGTTGTATGGAGTCCTCTAGTTGATGCGCACCACATGCTAAAAATACACAACTCTGGAATACAAAAACGCAGTAATAATACACAATAGTAAATATGTTGGCCAGAGCCTTCATTGCAATGGTGTCAGAACACTAGTGCTACGCCTCCATTTTTTAAAACCTGTTTTAACCTGTATTTGTTTTTGTTGTTGTTGTTGTATCTGTTATGCATATTTTTAGTGTTCAGCATTTTGTATTGTTTTAAAGTGCTTTATAAATAAATTGCTTGCTTGTTGTCCTGGCGGGGAATCAAATCACAATGTGTGGGTGCAACTCTGCACCTGAGCTGATGGTGGAGTATAAACTAAGTGTGTTTACACTTGTAACAAATGAAATGTTGAATTAAATGAATGTATTTAACCAAGTTATATCAACTGGCCCCACCAAACCTAGGTGCTTAAATGCAATAAACATTGTTATATGTTGTATTAAAATTAAATGTACATTATTCTTTACATTGAACCAGCTAGGTTTAGTGGAACAGTTGACATAACTTAAGTCATTTCAATGTTTAAGTTTTTTACACTGAAATCTGATTTTTTGAAGATGAATAATGTTTTTTGATAAAAACCTACAGCGTTTCATAGCTTTACTGTGTGGTTGGGAATGCCTCCTCCATCTTTAGTAATCTCTTTAACTGCCTAACTCAAATCAATTATTCTTGATCTGAGTAAACAGCACCAGCTAAAACTTTTAAATGAGTTTTAACAAAACTTTATAAAATCACAAACAGTTCAACAAAAATCAAATGTGCCAAGTGTAAACTTAAAATAAGCATGTTTAGTAAAACCTACTTAATCAAATCCCATTTTTAGGATTTTTAAAGAAACCACTGGAAAGCAGTAAATCCATGGTGTGTCATTTGGGCTGAAGAGGGAAAAACAAGGAATCCGTGCATGCACACAAAAACATGAGATCCTACCCTAACCTTAACCAAAATAAATTTATGTAAGATTCAAAAACAAAAATCACACCTGTTATTTATTATAGTTAAACACTTCTTTTGACCTTTGATCTTTTATTTACTTTATATAAAAAAATTCTATGTCAAATTTAAACTTAAACTTACATCAGTGATCTGATTGTTCCATACGTTCCTAACCGAGCACTTCGCTCTCAGACTGCAGGTCTACTGGTGGTTCCCAGAATATCTAAAATTAGAATGGGAGGCAGATCTTTTAGTTGTCAGGCTCCTCTCCTGTGGAACCAGCTCCCAGCTTTAGTCCGTGAGACAGACACTTTGTCTACTTTTAAGAATAGGCTTAAAACATTTTTATTTGATAGGGCCTATGGTTAAAATCTGATGTTAGCCTAAATCTGGACAAGTGGGGGAGTACAGGGAGGTGGAGTGTACAGTCGGTAAAGACACCTCTCCCTTGCCCTGCCTCCAACTTGCTTCCATCTAAATAGGATAGATTATCCAGAGTTATCTCTGTAGTTATGCTGCTATAGGCTGAGACTGCTGGAGGATACACTGACCACTTTCCACACTCTACTACCTTCTTCTACAGTCTGCTCTTTAACTGTATTATTTTCTGCTATTTCAGCTGTTAACTTTATTTTCTCTCTAAGTGTTTTTCTCCCCAGAAGAAGCTACAATGACGTTCTGCTGAGCTGTGGTGGCCTCATGGAGGGTGCCATCGACTAGCACACTGCTGCTAACCACTTAAATATTCTCCCTCTCCTGATAATAACTTTTTGCTTTCCTTGACGTTGGATGTGCTACTACTAGTTTATCCGTTTAATTATAGATCCACTAGAATAAATACAATAAAGTTTATCTCTCACCAAATGGAATATTTACTAAGACATCACAACATAACTGTAGACACATTACTTTGTGTGTGTGCGTGTGTGTGCGTGCCTGCGTGTGTGTGTGTGAGTGTGTGTGTGTGTGTGTGTGTGCGTGTGCTTGTGTGCATGTGTGCGTGCATGTGTGTGTGCGTGTGTGTGCGTGCCTGCGTGTGTGTGTGTGTGTGTCTGCTCTGTCTTCTCGATCCCCAGTGAGTCGTGGAGGATGGCTGCTTATACTGAGCCAGGATTCTCTGGAGGTTTCTTCCTGTTAAAAGGGAGTTTTCCTCTCCACTGTCGCTGCATGCTTGCTTGGTATGAGGATTGCTGTATAGTCACTGACACTAGTCAGTGACTTGATGCAATTTGCTGTGTTCCTTATATAGGAAACATTATTTCTGAATGGCTTAATGAACTGACCTGTTTATTATGTGAAGTGCCTTGAGACGACTCTTGTCGTGATTTGGCGCTATATAAATAAACTTGAATTGAATTGAAATTTACATGTAATTAAAAAACATTTTCAACTTTTTTGGGCGATCCTTTTTTTCAGTGCGGTTTCCTATTATATCAATCATAATCCCGATGACCTGGGGCAGGTTAAAATAGGATTACACACACACACACACACACACACACACACACACACACACACACACACACACACACACACACACACACACACACACAGATGGCACTTACAGTTTATAAAGGTTTCTCCTTTTATGCACTGTGCCCCTTTTGTAAAGTTAACCTGACAGAAAAAAGATGGCTTCCTAAAGAGTATGAGCGTAGCTGTGGAGCTGTGTGTGAGCGCTGTCCATGTGCATAAGTTGTGTAAGCCTATTAGCCGTGCACCCCTGGTCAGAGGAGGAGATTGGGGTTAGTCTAAGCTCTAATCCTCATGGACCTTCTGCTTGTTACACAGCAAGAACAACAAATTCCTGCCTCTGCCCCTTCAAGACAGTCAGATATTGCTCAGATGTGAGTTTGTTTACGGCTCCACTCCTCCACCCCATCTCAGCAGGAAGGCTGAGGTGTGGGAGGAAAGGGAGGAAACTCTGCTCACTGTTGAGTTGTATCCCAGTCGCCATGACGACCTCACACCCCAGCATCTTCATAGCTGTCTTCCTGTTGCCACGGTGACCCTTTTTCGTCTTCGTTGCTCTTGGTGATCTGGATTGGATAAAGAAGAAAGATCCAGGAGTGGCATTTTATTTGTGTTGGAAACACCCTGTGGATGGGACAGACGATCCCGAGCAGGGAGGACTGGAGGAGGAGAGGACCGGACAGTGAGATGGGATTGCTCTGGGCGTAGCAGCGGATTGTTTCCTGGAAACAGCAGCATGCCGGTACAACAGATAACTGTGCTTCCAGCAAGAGAAACAGCTAGCAATGGCAAGAGCGCACCTCGCTCCAAAAACAAGAATGAGGTAAGATTCTGACCACAAAACTCTCATGAACTTTCCTTCAGATAAAGGATTTTTTTAGGTGAGAGTTTTAAACCGACTTGTTGAAATGTGGATCTGGTGAGTTTTAGAAAAGTTGTAATCAGATCCTGGTGACCGGAGAGGTTTGGGGCTTTCAAAAATCTACATTTTAGTAATAAGAAACAATCCACATGTCATCATGAAATACTTCACAGCAGTCAAGGAATATCACAAACACAGAACGTTGTGTCACTGCCCCATCCTGTGCTGACTAGTCTCAAACTATCAGACATTTATTTAAAACTACTTCACATGTTCCTGCCTGATAACTGATAAGTCAGTGTGGAAAAAAAAACTCCAGAAAATGGAAAATAAAAACACGGAAACTAGGCTTTAAAATGCACAAGTAACAGGAAATAGGTTAATGTGTTTATTACATATAATTAATTTGATTTGATGATAATTATCCAGAGCTGGAACATGCTGATGCCTGTGTGTTATAACAAACACACATGATCACACGGTGTAGATAGTATCAGGGCTTTTTCTTAAAACATCACTGCACTAGTTGAAATGCCTAAGTAGGTCAAACGATCACAGATTAAAATGTATTTTTAAACTGGCTTAGACGTGTCGCACATGGCAGAAAAACTGAAAATAACACCCTGTTGTCCTGATTTGGGGGTTAGAGTCTAATTTTCCTTCTTTACACGGTACGTCTCTGCTGTTGTATAAAAATACACCATAACTGTCAGTGAATGGATTGTTTATTGGGTTTTGCCCATGTCTGATTTCAAACACACAGACGTATGTTTGATATTATTGGTCCAAAATTAATATCTGCATATCTGTCTTAACATTAACATTGGGAACTATCTGTATAGGTTTTCAGTCTTGTAATGACCCAACTTTTATATACCGTATATATAATAGACATCAAACTCTTCAGCCAATTCTCCTCTCTCTCAAAATGTTAAAATATATTCTGAGATTTCTATTTGACACAATTGGTGAAATAGAAATTTGCCATGTGAAGGGACAGATGACTAAACCAAAACCGATAATCTCCACCCAAGGCTTGCTTTTCTTATCTGAAGAACTTCATGAAGGCTTCATCACCACAGCTGCAAAATCCAGAAAAAGTCTAATCTACACTAACCAGTACACACATCTCAGCTTGGGGAGAATGAGATTCAGCTGCTGTTGGAGACACACATATGGGACTTTCCTTTTCCTGTTACTAACTTCGATTGAAGTAGTCATTTTGCACAGAAATGTAAGCATGCATGATCACTGTTAAAAATCCAACTAGCAATTTGTTTGGAGAGTTTAAAGTTTTAAGTCAGTTGAACGTTTTAACTTGCAAAATGTTAAGTTAATACAGAAAAGCAAGCACCTAAAAGTTGACTGAACTTAAAATTGTATTGCAACTGGTTGCTTTACTTTTTTAAGTTCACTGGACTTTTCTTTACAGTGTAGAAAATGTGTGTTAGTACATAAAGATGTGTTTTTCTTTTTTATGAGAGGGAGACAGCATATATCTTTGTGTGTGTGTGTGTGTGTGTGTGTGTGTGTGTGTGTGTTCCATCTGCTGACTTGACTTTTCACCTCCAACATGGGGACATTTTGTCACTGTGAGGACATTAGCCATGTCAGTTTTGTACTGAAACTCTAATTTCCCTCTGGGATTAATAAAGTATCTTTGATTGATTGATTTGATATACCTGTGTGTGTGTGTGTGTGTGTGTGTGTGTGTGTGTGTGTGTGTGTGTGTGTGTGTGTGTGTGTGTGTGTGTGAATTCTATATATATTAGTATTTTTTTTAAATCACACCGCCCAAGGCAGGGGCGTGCCCCTACTTTGGGTACCGCTGTTCTAAAGGGGTACAATCCACCTGCTGCCAGAGAATCTATGGTGTCAAACCATGTTCACACTGAATGTAGAACAGATGTGGTCTGGTTTCCACACAGCTTCTGCAAACACCAGAAATCATTGAGTCCAACCAGAGCATTCACACTGGCTGCGTTGCGTTGTGAAGACATGAAGCTCCAGAAGGTTGGAGTGAATATTTTCTGGATGCTTCATGCAGATTGTTATGATGGTAAAAAGATGGCAAGAGCCAGACAGGAAGTGAGACATGTTTCAGCTAGATACTTTTCTTTTGTAAGTAATGACAAGGATATCAGTTCACAGTGTATGATGGGTCGCGTTATTTTTACATGTATATCTTTAAACATGTACTGTTTCAAATTTCTATTCATTTGGTGCTCTGGGAGCTGCTTTCTAGAGACATTCAGCACCTGACCTGCAGTCGATGGGAATGTCAGTCCGTCTGGAAGCCGTACGGGAACCAGACCGGATCTGTTCTGCACCACTGGTAATTTTGACAAGAAATTTTAATTTAGTTTTAGTCTTAGCCTTTTGACTACAATTCAGTCATCCTATTTGTTTTAAATCTAGTCTTCTTTTAATCGACTAAATCATAAGTAGTTTTCTTCTGATTAAATAATTTTCCACTTGTGTAAAGGAAATGTTAACTACAGCTACTTGAAACTTCGTCTCTTCGTCTTCGTCTTCCTCCGCTTATCCGGGTCCGGGTCGCGGGGGCAGCATTCCAATTAGGGAGCTCCAGGCCGTCCTCTCCCCGGCCTTGTCCACCAGCTCCTCCGGCAGGACCCCAAGGCGTTCCCGGACCAGATTGGAGATGTAACCTCTCCAACGTGTCCTGGGTCGACCCGGGGGCCTTCTGCCGGCAGGACATGCCCGAAACACCTCCCCAGGGAGGCGTCCAGGAGGCATCCTGACCAGATGCCCAAACTACCTCAACTGGCTCCTTTCGATCCGGAGGAGCAGCGGTTCTACTCCGAGTCCCTCCCGAATGTCCGAGCTCCTCACCCTATCTCTAAGGCTGAGCCCGGCCACCCTACGGAGGAAACTCATTTCGGCCGCTTGTATCCGCGATCTCGTTCTTTCGGTCATTACCCAAAGCTCATGACCATAGGTGAGGATTGGGACGGAGATCGACCGGTAAATCGAGAGCCTGGCTTTCTGGCTCAGCTCCCTCTTCCCCACGACAGATCGGCTCAGCGTCCGCATCACTGCAGACGCCGAACCAATCCGCCTGTTGATCTCCCGATCCCTCCTACCCTCACTCGTGAACAAGACCCCAAGATACTTAAACTCCTCCTTTTGAGGTAGGACCTCTCCCCCGACCCGGAGGTGGCAAGCCACCCTTTTCCGGTCGAGAACCATGGTCTCAGATTTGGAGGTGCTGATCCTCATCCCAGCCGCTTCACATTCGGCCGCGAACCTACCCAGCAAGAGCTGAAGGTCAGAGCTGGATGAAGCTAGGAGGACCACATCATCCTCTATCTGAGATTCAACTATCGATCGGACCCTCCTCTCCAGAAGAGTCGGAGTACCCGGCCCGGAGGGTTACCGGGGTCCCACCCTGGAGCCAGGCCTGGGGTTGGGGCCCGTGAGCGAGCGCCTGGTGGCCGGGCTTTCGCCCATGGGGCCCGGCCGGGCCCAGCCCAAACCGGATACATGGGCTCGTCCAACTGTGGACCCACCACCCGCAGGAGGAACATGAAGGGTCCGGTGCAATGCGAATCGGGTGGCAGACCAAGGCGGGAGCCTTGGCGGTCCAATCCCCGGACAAGAAAACTAGTTTTTGGGACATGGAACGTCACCTCGCTGGCGGGGAAGGAGCCGGAGCTTGTGGCAGAGGTTGAGCGGTACCGGCTAGATATAGTCGGACTCATCTCGACACATTGCATTGGCTCTGGAACCCGAGACCTGGAGAGGGGTTGGACACTCTACTTTGCTGGAGTTGCTCCGGGTGAGAGGCGGAGGGCTGGGGTTGGCTTTTTGTTAGCCCCGAGACTCTCTGCCTGTGTGTTGGGGTTTACACCGGGGGACAAGAGGGTAGCTTCCTTGCGCCTTCGGGTCGGGGAACGGGTCCTGACTGTTGTTTGTGCTTATGGGCCAAATATCAGTTCAGAGTACCCACCCTTTTTGGAGTCCCTGGGACGAGTGCTAGATAGTGCTCCATCAGGGGACTCCATTGTCCTGCTGGGGGACTTCAATGCTCACGTGGGCAATGACAGCTTGACCTGGAGGGGTGTGATTGGGAGGAACGGCCCACCTAATCTGAACTCGAGCGGTGTTTTGTTATTGGACTTCTGTGCAAGCCGCAGTTTGGCCATAACGAACACCATGTTCGAACATAAGGATGCCCACCGGTACACTTGGTACCAGGGCAGCCTAGGTCGCAGGTCGATGATAGATTTTGTAGTCGTATCATCTGACCTGCGGCCGTATGTTTTGGACACCCGAGTGAAGAGAGGGGCGGAGCTGTCAACTGATCACCACCTGGTGGTGAGTTGGATCAGATGGCAAGGGAACATGCCGCGTAGACCTGGCAGACCCAAACGCATAGTGAGGGTCTGCTGGGAACGCCTGGCAGAAGAACCTGTCAAGACGGTCTTCAACTCCCACCTCCGGCAGAACTTTGACCACGTCCCGAGAGCAGTGGGGGACATTGAGTCCGAGTGGGCCTTGTTCCACTCTGCGATTGTCGAGGCGGCTGTTGCTAGCTGTGGTCGTAAGGTGGCCGGTGCCAGTCGTGGTGGCAACCCCCGTACCCGCTGGTGGACACCAGAGGTTCGGGGAGCCGTCAGGCTGAAGAAGGAGGCCTACAGGGCGTGGCTGGTCTGTGGGTCTCCGGAGGCAGCAGACAGGTACCGGATAGCCAAGCGGGGTGCAGCAGTGGCAGTTGCCGAGGCAAAATCTCGGGCGTGGGAGGAGTTTGGTGAGGCCATGGAGAAAGACTATCGATCGGCTCCAAAGAGGTTCTGGCAAACTGTCCGGCGCCTCAGGAGAGGAAGGCAGCAACTCGCTCACACTGTTTACAGTGGGGATGGGGAGCTGCTGACGTCAACTGAGGCTATAGTCGGACGGTGGAAGGAATACTTTGAGGAGCTCCTCAATCCCACCAATGC